CAAAACAATAGGCGTTACTCAAATATTGGAAACTCAACTGGAATGCCTAAATTTGAATAGTAAGTTGTAAAACAAAAAAAAAAGTCTTATGAATGATTATTCATGGTTCATTCGAAAATTTTATACATTACCAGTATCTGACAGTCATAATCGGAAGAGAATCATTGCATATGAAAACAAATTGAGCTTAATTAACGAGCATTTCAAAGACAAAGAAGTACTGACGACTTATTAGAATTAGACACTGGACATTTGACCTAGAAGTAAATCTTTATTGTAGCTTACTAACGTTTACTTCATTGTTAAGTCAGATAGAACAATATCATGAAACTATTTGAATTGACATACATGATTTTACAAAAAATTGCGAAATTGAACTTAGAAAATTACTGTGCTCTCGAATTTCAAAGCATTTTTCACTGGTATTTGCTGCATTGATTCACAAAAGCAGTATGAAAGTAGTGGAATATTTCCTTGACAAATTTTAACCGCAAAACGACTGCAAAGTAAGTAATCTATTTTGTGTGTACCCGATCTCAACCTGAAAACTTGTAATAATTGGTTAATTTAATTTTACAAAGCTTACGATAGATTTTGAGACTCAAATTTTTGAAAACCTTAAAAGTTGCATAATTTCAGATTGTTTTTTGCATGCTGCATACTCGCTGAGAGATATAAAAACTTCAAAATCCCCCTATAATGAAGACTGTTGAAATTCCATTTGGGTTTTTCGCATGTCTTTTAGTTAACGTGCACGCCGCCAATGATCCAGACGTCTCCGTGTTGGCCAAAATAGCTGAAGAAGCTTTAACCAATACATCCATCAACGCTTGTGATGAAACAAATACCAACAATTCGTACGTTCATAAATTTCTACAAAATGCCAATAATGTTGATATTAATAATTGTTTTTTATTTTCATTGAAACTTACGCTATCAATAGCATAGTTGTGATTGATGTTTACATTTAGGTTTATTTATTGTTATGGAAGATTACTGGCGGCAGTGAATGTGCACAATTTATTCCAGGATTCAAAGTCTTTCGTGGATATGCCATTGAAATTCGATCCTGGTAGAATGAAGTTTTGGATTAATTGAAGCGTAAATGAGTCCAATTTTCTCATTCTAGTAATTTAAAACTTTACTAAATTTAGATACTTTTAATTGCCTGGTTCTCCGAATCACTACAGTTTAAATCTTCCCCTCCAGAAAAAAAAAATGGAATATCAATGCTGAAACCTTGGAACATTCCAGAGGTAATACAGGAAGAATTTAATCGACGTTTCGGTGAATACGAACTGCAAGCCATTAATCGCTCTGCATTGCAAGCATTTGTTGACGAAAATTTCGAATCAGCCGGAAACGAACTGGAAGATTGTCAATTGGAGGGATGGAATGAGCATCCGCCGAAGCTAATGAAGATTCAGGATTCAATGCTGCGTGATTGGGCACTGAAACTTAATGCAATTTGGAAATTACTATGTCGAAAAGTATACTTTTTGAAAGAGCCGGAACATCTTTTGATATTTCTAATAGTATAGGAACTGTGAATCTCAGAAAGATGGAAATTCTCATATTGCTCATTTAAATGTATTATTGCGCATCATTTGTTTTATACAGAAAACATGCGCAGATGGAATAGAACTGATTTTGTACGAAAAAAAGTGATGATTTAAAGATCGGTGAAAAATTTATGAATTCTCTCGACAAACAAGTCTTTTTATTCTGTACAACCGATTTCCGCACTACTACAGATGAAACCAAATCAGAATCCAAAGCGAACTTCATTAATTCATATCCCTGAGGAATTCATTGTACCAGGTGGACGATTCCGTGAATTTTATTACTGGGACGCGTATTGGATTGTTAAAGGCTTGGCAGCAAGTGGACTTCACAGTACAATCAAGAAAATGATTACCAATTTTGTAACTGTCGTAGACAGGTAATATCGCGTTGTTTGCTCATCATTTAACATCATTTAGCAATCAACGTAAATAAGTGAGGAAAAAGGAAGTCACTTTTTTAGTGTAAGTGAAGCTATTATTTCAATAACCAATCGACACTCTGAGTTCGAATAATAATCCTTGAAGATTTCGAATATTCGGATTTTTGTTTCAGATACGGATTTATTCCAAATGGGGGTCGAATCTATTATTTGGGACGATCACAACCACCACTGCTTATCCCTATGGTTTATGAATATTATGAGCTGACACGTGACCTCGCATTCGTAAATAAAATTTTGCCGACTCTCATCAGAGAATACGAATTTTGGCAGAACAACAGGTAGTGAAGTATCGATGTGAAAGTAGTTCTTAGTATGCCGTGACTATAATTAGAACTGGTCTTGATCTTGTTGCAAAGATTTAAAGAACTTTTATTATCAGAAAAGGTGTTGAAGAAAGCTCACGTGAAATCGAAGATATTTAGTGATAAAATTTGGCTACTCGTTGATTTCCATTTTTGAACTTAACATGATGTGGAAGAGCTTCAAGATCATATTGTTAAACTGTTAAGTTTTTTCGGGACCTTAGAACTCGATTTCCAGATTTCCTGAAGGTTGCATTATGATATTTTGAATAAATTAATTGAATTGCAGGGTTATCAATGTGTCGGATGATAAAGGCAATACATTTTCGGTTTTTCATTATCACAGTAAATGTAATGTACCACGACCGGAATCATTTCTTGCAGATATTATACATGCTTCACGACTTCCAGCTCATGAACGACCAAAATTTTACATGGTCAGTTTCTAAAGTAGAGTAAAAAAAAGGTTTTAAAATGATATTCTAGATTTTGATTTCAAATTTTTCAAATTATTTACAGAATATAGCATCAGGCGCAGAATCTGGATGGGATTTCAGTTCTCGCTGGTTGAAAGATGGTCACAAGATTGAAACTATCGAAACGACCGATATTATTCCAATTGACTTGAATGCTTTTATATGCTGGAATTTGGATATTTTGCAGTATTTACTTAGAAATACAGGTAATGTTACGGAATAAGTACAAGGATGGCAAGGGGGAAAATTTGTGGCAACAAATAATTGATTAGTTATTACATGTATATATGAAAAAACCACTGGGAAGTTTGAGCTATTCCTAAATTAACGAAGAGTGCGCTGAAATAATACGACAATTTCAATGCTATATTTTACAAATAAAACAGACTGTCGTTATGTTATTATTTAATTAGTTATCATGACTTACTAATTTTAAAAATGGTTATTCATCATTTACAACGGCTTACAAAAGACAAGCAGGGTCCTAATCCAATTTCTTAAATCTAAAGAAGACTAATTCTCATGTTTAATAAATACAAAGCACTGTGATTGTAAAAAAATCATACCTGACTGGAATTCCAGGTGTTGTAACTACTCGCCTATCATTTCATCATTTTTATCGTTGTAAGAGTATTAATATAATAATATTAAGCATTAGTTCTATCAAGTTTCAGAATGCATTCATCAAAGGAATTTTTAAATCCAAAGAAGACTAGTTCTCATGTTTAATAAATACAAAGCTGAAGGCACCCAAACATTAAGTGGTAGTGATAAAGCCTAAACTGGTCATTTAACATCTAATTTCTATCCTGCACAACTTCATTTTAGGCATCTGATATCCATCCTTCTTTTGACTTTTCTTTGTATTTTATAAATACCCAAATCACTGCTTAGGAAATCCTTTGAAATCGAAAACACTTCGTGACAAACGAGAAATTCTCCGTCAAGCAATGTTCCACGTATTTTACAACGATACAGAAGGTGCCTGGTTCGATTATAATCTGCGAACCAAATCTCACAATTTCAACTTCTATCCATCGATTGTGGTACCGTTGTTCGGTGAATGCTATCAACCACTGAACCTGGCAAGACCACAACAAATCGTCAACTACTTGAATGCTCGTTTTCCAGGATTCTTTTTTCCTTTTTGGAAAATCAAAGTGGATAGGAGTGCAAAATATTAAAAATGGACTCTTATAGGAATCCGCTCGAATTATAATTTCAATTCAATCTACAGTATTGTTATTCTAAATTTACAGAAAATGGGAGTGTACAACTATCCAGGCGGTGTGCCAACCAGCCTTATTAAAGATACCAAACAACAGTGGGATTTTCCAAATGGTTGGAGTCCTACAAATCATATGATTATTGAAGGAATGAGAAAATCAAGCAATCCCGTGGTGCAAGAACAGGTACAATAGAAACAATATATAAATTCCCAAGTAAAGAAGCACAGGCGTATCACCATTATTTGAGCGAGGTTTTTTTAAAAGAATCTGAAAACATATTATTATTGATGTTTAGGCATATCGTTTGGCGAAGAAATGGGTTTTGGGCAATTTCAAAGTATTTCAGGAAACAGGTCATATGTGGGAGAAGGTTATATTTCTATTGGTACTAAAGAAGTAACCAAATTATAAATAAATCAGAAACTTACATCAGAAATTTAAATTTGCAACTGTAAAATGCGCTAACAGGTTAAGGGAACTTGCACTGCTGATGAATTTTAAACCAGGCTTCGCATGTTACCAAATTGTATTCAATATATTTCTCCAAAAACTAAATTCAAAAAGCTCGGTCATATTCTTTTCAGTACGACGTCAACGGAACTGCACCACAACCAGGTAGCGGCGGCGAATATTTGGTTCAGGTAGATGTATTTTCAATTATCCATTTATTGACAGTTACATATTCTCAAATTATTTAAAAAATGTAAGAGATACATTATAATTTCTTTAGCACTATTGATCAAAATTTAAATTCATAAATATCTTGAGTGATTTTCAGGATGGTTTTGGCTGGTCGAATGGTGTTATACTAGATTTGTTAACAACGTATCACGAGAGAATGCGCATTGAACCTGGGGATTTAATGCCGAACAACAATGCTTCTGCGACAAATAACAATGGTTCTACGACAGGTTCAGCATCTGAACGAATGCACTCTAAATCCATTACTCCTCTTATACCGATAATTATCTCAATACTTTATACTTATTTATTGACGCGCTGACAATTTCTCTAATGTAATACTGTCCAAAAACCGAAGGTTGCAGACTGTTGAGATTAATAAAAGAATTACTCTTCAAGAAGCTTCAATAGTTCTATTTAACTGAAACCATTGGGACTTTGTCCTAACCTAATATGTAAATATTAGACAAAACTGTTCCAAATGAAATGTTCTAGAATAGAAATGAAGGAACAATCTAAACATAATGTGCAAATACCAAAGAAAAAACGCCTAACAATTTTCATTGAAAGCGTAAGCAGCCTTGGACCTAACGGAGATCAACTGTGTCATATATAAATAAATTTGATGAGTAAAATGTTTAGCAGTACTTTGTGATACAACGTTTGAAAGACTAGGTGCAAAATATATTATAGAATATAAATTTCAAAGGAGTTAATTTACTACTGCATTTAATAATACTCACAGAAACTTTTCAGAATTGTTCAGAATATAATCTTAATCTGTTGGTTATTTTGCTAAGAAAGCACTGTATAAAAAACAGATCAAAAAATCTTAACCATTCATGCGTTTGTAAAGTTATTAACTATACGGTATAAAAAAGAAGGAAATAGACAAACAAATGATATCGCAAAAAATCTATAACGCACTCGCAAATGTATGTGCATCATAGAATTCCAGAAAATTCATGAAAGAAAATATGCAGCTTCGCGAAGTTCAAAAAAATGAAATTCAATATCAATTATATCAAAAACCGCTTTATGAAACAATGTAGTCTAAGGTATTTTACTTTATATGATATATGCAACGATGAGCAAAACCTGTAACAGTTATTAAAAAGTGGAACACTTATAAGTCGTTCAGTAATGGTATGACTTTAAAAATGGTTCGAAAATTTGTATTACATCCATCACTGTAAGTAGAATTTAAGGGACTTATATTCACTACAGTGCAGAAAAAGTGCCCCAACTGATTCACCGCTATTAGTCAAAGAAATCGTTTCAAAAATAGCTTATATACTGAAGTGAAATATTTCAAATCAAGCTAAGACATTAAATAATAGTCAAAAAAAAAAGATCTGGTAAAATGTAGTCTCTGACAAAGGGAACTGAAAGGAACTACAGTATAATAGTATAACAAGATATACAAAGTAGGAAAAAAATGATCAAAGAAGCACGGAAATAGTCGTAGCAAATCTTTTCTACAACTCATAAATCCATTAAAATATTTAAAAAATAGTAAACTCATTCGAATTTTAAGATAATATCACATCCTTAGCAAATATTCAAAGAGTACATGTGTCTATGGGGAGTTAGAAAAACACAGAAGAAAATCAAGCTAATAGTACATTACAACGAAACAGTTTTTATCGTAGTTCGACATAATTTGCTGGAAACAAACCGTACTGCCCGTTACAAAGTCCACGCCACCAACCAGCATCAACCTAAATGATGCTATTCCTTGCAATACATACAACGCTAACGAAACTCCTGATAAATATATGCAGCCATGAAGAAAGGAGTTAAAAATCTAATGAAATTAGCGGATTTGTTGATAGACAGAAATGAAATGCAAGTTGCAAGGAAAACAGTCGAAAACAAGGCTGAATAAAGTTTCGCTTATCCAAGAGAGAACTTCACCATATTGAACGAAAAACTAACCTGATCAATGTTGGTAATGATATCATCAGGGTCAAAGCTGATTTCGTCATCATCCTGTTTCTGATAATCATAAATGGCAACAGCTGTAAGACCTGCAGAACTAAGCGGATGCGTTGGTGACGAAAGTGGGTCACTTACCGTTGCTATTTTCGACTGTTCTCTCTGAAAAAAGTGACAGTGCTACAACTGAAATAGGGAAACAATGATTGTAATCGGTCTCTAGCAAAATAAAAAACAAATAGCAATATTAAAACAATAAAATTGAGAAAAATCAGAAAAAAAAGTATGAACCCTTGATGCAAGAACGGCATCGAATCGACAGTAGGATCGAAAAGCAAAAAGCAAACAAGTTAAAAATGCTAACACAATCTTTAAAAAAATGAAATCAAACTTGTAAAGGACTTAATCAGAAGCCAAGAAACCAAGTGAAAATTTAAACCAATTAGAAGTTTAATCTAATGATAGCTGATGTTTATTGTGGAGATGGAGATTTCAGTTTTAAAGAACAACACTCTTATGCTCAAGTCACGACTTCGCAATCCACGAGAAATTGTCACTTAGACGTGTTATAATCCAATAAGCAAAGCTTTAAGTAACAAGAAAATTATACCTTTATAGGCGACTCGTCTTGTATTTCATCATGCGCAATAGTCATATCCAGTAATTGTGCTTTAGGTGCTGGTGGTGGTACTAAGTCATCTCCCGGTACCACATCGTACCTGTTTCCAATTAACATTCTTTCTTCTATTGCTAACATTTCTGTCTGAACAGTTAAGAAAGGTACTTCCAAAGAAAATAGGTTTTGATTTACTGGCATAAAGTCTGGAATTTCAAGGCAATAAACAAAAAAAACAAAGACTTGAAATAAACCAACATATTCCGAAAAATTTTTTTTGTTACCTCTGAGTGAACTGATAAGGGTGTAAAGTTGCTCCGTATTTCATTATCCCAGTTCAGAACATCTTCATTCCTACCATCGTTATGTGGAGCATAACGTTCCACACCACTGAAAGTTTTATTAGGTGAAGGATTGAAAAGTGGCAATTTGACCAACTGTGGTGTAGATTTTTCCGATACAGAGGAAACATTTTGTGCTTCAGACAATATGTGCGGCTCAACAGAATTTTCGCGTTTAGAAGGCGACCCTGCTATTCCAGGCATTATTGCTACGGCACCAGCTGGAGCACGAGAATGCCGTTTAGGAGCACCTAAAAAATACCGAATTTAATGAAATTTTATGAAGCGATAATTCCCAAAACAACATAAGGAGTAAAAAATAAAATGACCTCCAGTATGATGCAACTGCTCATGCTGTCGTATTTCTTCTCGAATTGCTTCTGGATCCATCTACAATTTCGTCAGATTTCTTGAAAATTAAAGAAAAAACTGTAAAAAGTACCGCGGAGTTTTTTTTCAGCAAAATTCAAAGAGAAACTTAATTATTGTTTTTTCTGCTAAAACTTCACGTTCCCTGATCGGAAATAAATATTTAAATCTCCATTCAAATTCCATCTTCTCCGATATCACATATAATCCTTTATGAATTAAAATTCAGATTCCTGATCAATGACTCCTAACCTGTTGTTCTAGCTCTTCGCGTCGCTTCCATTCTTCAGCAATTTTTTTCTGTCTTTCTTCCTCTTCTTTTTGCTGCTGTTTACGCAGCTCTTCATCTTCTCGTTTTCGACGTTCACGTTCTTGCTGCACCTTTTCGCCACTCTAAAAAGAAAAATTGGACTCACAGCATCCATGTTTGTAAATTGGACTCACAGCATCCATGTTTGTAACATTTGAAAGAAAGGGATAAAAACTTTCATAAAGAACTGAAACCATGATGTTATAATAGTAAAATAGATTAGCAGTTGAACATGTTGAAAACTTCAAACTTATTTCTTCAAAGACTTTTAATAACATACCTCAGCAACTGAAAGTTGTTCAAATTTAGCACGTAAATTTAAAGCCCTTCCTTTTGGTGCAACAGGCAAAGCGTTCCCTCTCGGTACTTGTTCTTCTGAAAAATCATAATCTAATCATTACAACCTTTTATAATAACAATAATTCTGGGCACCAGGTTTATATCAAATCCTAAATCATTTTTAAGTTTACACTTGAAATTCTCATAATCTTGATTTAATGAATTTCTTAGCATCCAGGTAATAATCAAAAAATGTTTGCAGTTATAGGAACTTCTTTCTATCTGCACCAAAAATACCAAAACC